CTCACAGGGATTAATTAAACTTCAACCATAAAACTCACAGTCCTTACAGGCATTATGTAGACTCTCGTCCTACTTTAATTATTCTCCAAATCAATTAAGAAATTGGACACATCTTTAAAAAAAAAAAAAAAAAAAAACCACAATTCCTAGCACAACCTCACATTCAGTTGACCTGTCCAAGGCAGGGAATGGAGAGAGTAAGAGGACACGCCTGAAAGAAACATATGCTACAACACCAGAAGGATGTTCATCTACAAAGCCTCTCAAAACGGAAAGACAGCATTCTACAGCCTCCTGTGGAAGGCAGATAAAGGAAAGAAGATAAATGATCTGTTATGAAAAAGTAATTTCATTTTTTTCAAACCTTATTTCAACTCCAAAAAATCTAGGCTGTACTGAATAATACCTGGCACTTGTCCACACTTGATTCAGCTGAACATTAGTTGAGGAGATTTTTGTACAACAGGTAAAAGCAACAAGAAGCTGCTTAAGGCAAATTCAATCACCTCATCACAAACACTGCTTGCAATGGTTGAAGTAAAAACACCTTTCCTTGCAGTTGGTATACAGACAGCACCCCTACCATCAACACCTAAGAAGATACCAACAAGCCCTCATGAGGAAAATATATTAAAAGTTACCTAGTAGACTGCATTTGCCTTGTTGTCTCTGGATCCTCAAACATCTTGACAATAGGCTCAGTTTCAGCTTGAAGCTGTTTCAGCTGTGCAACAACAGTTGTTCTCTTCTCACGCAAAGCTTAAAAAAAAAATAAAAAAAAAAAAAAAAATTCCACATACAGATTGAGTCTTTGCAGAAACTAACGTGTAATCACATTTAAATAGGTTTTCTTCCAATTGCTACCTAGCTTGATCTTCCAAGGAAGTCACAAAACCAGAGATACCTATGAACTTGTTGGCTTAACAAGTAGTCTCCACCATATGGTTTCTCATAGTGTGCACAGTTCTAATCAAACCACCCAAGAGCAGATACCTAAAATAGCCTTGGCTCAAGCTAAGGTACATTCAGGCTTCCACTAAAGGAGAAGCACCTTTTTAAGTAACTTTGCTCATTCCAAATAAACCTGGGGAAAAAAAAAAGTAAAAAACCTAAGCTATGATACTAATTAGATTTTCCTCTAACCAACCAGGTTCTAAAAGTACACTTTTAAACTATTTAACAACATTACACATGCTAACTGAGAACTCTTTATGAGAAATTAGTAAGAAAAAGTGGCCATCCAAGACTTCCATGTGCAATAAAACAAATACTTAAAAGTTCAGCCCACGTGCTTTAAAAAAAAAAAAAAAAAAAAAAAAAAAAAAAAGGGACTGGAAATACATGCCAAGAAACATATGGGATCCAAGAAAGACAAACCAAGACCAAATCTTAGGAGATAATAGAACCCAGAAGCCACTGGAGAGGGTCACACACCAGGGCACAGAGCATTACAGTGAGTCTATCAGACTTTTCTTTCATGATTTCTTTTGTAGAGGATATCCAAAGTGGATAACACCACTATAGTGACCCAACCTAAATCCAGAAGTGACTTGCCTGACAGGAAGTATTCCAGTAAGGAGAAATTATCTCCAGCTTCAGAAGAATCTTGAGATTTTAAAAAGGGAAACAGATGAAAAACAGAAACATTCAGTTAACTTACTAACAAACGTTTTTCCCTTTCCCTGTGACTGGCTGCATAATCATAAGGTGATTATGGAAGGCAAGACATCTAAGCACACTAACTTTAGAAAACTTCTGCTACAGTAAGGTCTTAGCAAAAAGTTACTGCAAAATTGAACGAAGTCAGTAAGCCTGCAAGTAAAAAGAAATGGCACATACATACATTCTGTTAAAGGTAAGCTATCTTTGCATAGGAAGTTCCACCTAAAAGTCATTTGTTCAGATTGCTTGTGAAAGCATTAGCTCTGCTACTTCCTGTTCTTAGAAAAAAAGGCCAATATCAAATAAGTCATCATACTAAGATAAGTCCTATACTTCCAAAATGCATGCAGAGCCAAACATCATTAGCAAGATTAAAGTTGTTGGCCACTATGAAGGCAGTTTTCCCAATGGCTAAGTTCATCGAACTCAGGTGCAGCTATGAGCTTTCAAACCTAAAGAGCTTAACAACCTGCTTAAATACTTCACTGTAATCAGATGAAAAATATGAGACTAATTACTTTTGAAGGTGTGCTACTGATACTGTAACATTCTTCTCTAGTAGTTTAGAAAGTCTGGAGCAAGAGAAGAAAAATAAACTTTGCAGCTTTGAGAATTTAACAGCCCTGAGATCACCTGAGGGAAATGAAAGGTGAAGCTATCATTGTAACTGTTCCTTGAATGACAAAAGTGAAAACCTCTCATAACCTTCTCATAACTGGCATTATCAGCCCAATGGAGCACTGCATATACACCTATAAAGAACAGACAATGCTAACATATGACATATTTGATCAAAACGTTCAATCCAACATCTGTAAGTCTTAACAGTTCTACATATTTCAAAAGGGGCTGTGAGTCTTTAGTTTAAAGAACCTGGAATGAGCAAGACTCAGGCAAAACAGCTGGAACCTGTACCCAGATAAGCAAAAACACCTGAATTTCTTCCTCCTAAGCTGCAGACTAGGCGAGCTGTAAACCCACTGCAGTTTAGAAAAAATTGAACAACTCCATAAGATGAACTAAAAGTGTGTAAACAGGGTGAAGTGCCTATTCAGAGAACAGCATCAGGAATAAGAAAGCTCACAATAAAGATACAATGAAAGAAAAGAAATAAAGGAAAAACAAACAAATAATGTAAGCTAAAAGTTAGTTATCTTATTTTTCTCCCCCCTAAGGTGCCATGTGGGAAGACTGATATTTTCTTCTTAAATTTTTAAAAATCATGCAGGAGATATTTTTCCTAATGATAGAACATTAAGCATTAGTTTTCGTATGTCTGTAATGATTTAATTTGGACTTTCTCCTTCTAGAGAAGCAGCATTTATCTGTAGATACAAGTGATTAAGACCAGGAGTACGCAATGTTCCAGTATTATGCATCCTTTCCTAAACATCAAAGGAAAACAGTATTGAAGTTTGAGTGCCACATTAAAAGTGCTACCAGCTATTAATTTACAAGCTAAATAAATATAAAAATATTTCTTTATCAACTGAGCAACTTACCATGTGGAATTTCATCAGAATAAAGATTTTTGTACACATCCATAGCAAAATCCACCATGTTGGTATCACTAAGGAGATCCAGTTTTCCTTGAAGTAGTTCTTTTTCATTATATATCTGAAACAAAATTCATCAACAGATTTCTTTGAATACTGCTAAACATTTACCAATTCAAATTATCTAATTACCTTTATTGTTACCGTTCAATTTACGAATTTTGTCCAATGAAATTATTTTAAACATCAACCTCTCAACTTTTCAAAGTCTGATACCTCTGTTGAGTGGCAGGGTTACCATAAAGTGCCTCTGTTTTTCTAGTACCAGTAAGACAATGCTAATTTCCTGCTATTTATGAATAGCAGAAACTTCAAAAGAATAGTTAGGAGACAAGTCATCTTTTTAGATGATCATTCCTAATGAAAGTAAATGAGTTACTTTGTGGGCCAAAGCAAATTATGAATTCTCCATGGAGAACGGGGAGAGAATCCAACGTGAAAAATCTGACCAAGACTTAAAACAAACCAACCAACAAATAAAAGACACACCTGTTCTGGCCCCAGAACTTAAGGAAGCACAGCTCTGAGGGAAAGTTCAGTGAATGCTTTGCACAGTGCATTCTGACTAATGTAGACTCAAGTTACTCAAGTTTAATCTCAAAAGATGCTCAAGATGAAACTTGAGTTGTAGCACAGCTTAATCTAAAATATGTCTACACCTCAGGCAAGCTGCATTGAGCTTCTGTAGTTGGGTCATTTTCTTTAAGTTTGTTTAACTACTTCTTAAAGGTCTTGGTAATAACTGAGCTATGCATTACAAATGTTAGGTCTTTAAGATTCAGGTGAGGATGTGAACTACCAAACAACTCAAACATGCACATGTATGAAGGCTGTGTTACACTTCACTGCATCATGATCTCTCAGACACAAAACTTGAGAGGTTAAGTTCAGCTTTGAACTGAAGAGTAGTCAAGATAACATACTGCAATAATATCTCTGCTTAACCTGTAGTGGTTCACAAATGCCAAAACACAAAAAACACCCCGGAGATGACTGTTACCAACCCAAACCCACACCCCAGACAGAAGAACTTGACAGGTCAGGTTGTCCCGTGCATGTATGTTGGGCTAGCTTATTTTTATGGCACCTAAAATAGTACGCACTTCAAAATCCAAACTTGGGCAGCCTTGCACGTTTTGTCTCCTTTTTAAGACATTGGAACTAAGTACTTTCAGTAATTTTGATTGACACAAGTCCAGCGTGAAGCACCTCTGGCACAACCAGGTTTCACACGGGGATTCAGCTTCACACCCACAAAAACAACGAGGGATGGGACACGACGGGTCCCGCACTTGGTCTGAGCGCAGAAATAAAACCAGAGCGGCAACGTTTTATCGCAGAGGCCGGTAAGTAACGCCGCCCGCACCGAGGGCCCCACGGCCCAGCGCCGCTGACAGCCGTACCTGGGGAGCGACCCGCACCCTCACAGAGCGACGGAGAGCGAGCGGCCACGCGAGGCACAGCTCCCGCCCTCCCGCTTCCTCCCCACGCAGCGCACTCCCCGAGCCGGCGCAGGAGCGGGCCGCGCCCACAGGGCCCCGGCGAGGCAGAGGCACCGGCGGCACCCGGCACCGATACACCATTCCTCGCCGCTCGTCCGCTCCGGAGCCAGCTCCCTCGCACTTAGAGCACGCGCGTACCTCCTTGACAGAGAGGAACTCCAGCAGCGGGAAGACCAGGTGTCGGTCCAAGAAGTGCGCGATCTTCGTGGTCAGGTCGTACTCCGCCATCTTGGTGCGGGAAAGAAAGAGGCGGGGCGAACGCCGGCACGCGAGGAAGCGGGCGGTGACGGCCTCCCTTAAGGGCTGTGCGCCTGCGCGGGATTGCGACTGCGCCCTGACTGAGGGGAAATGGTCTGCAGGGCGCATGCGCAGGAGGTTTGAGTGTACGCTGGTGTGAGGCAGGCGAGGGGCTGTGGGATCTTTGGGCTTTCTGTGTGGAAGGAATGAGTGGGCTGGTGTCCGGGAGCTTCCAGTCCCAAACTTGAGGTGGCTTGGGGTCCGTGTGGGCGCTGGCTGTAGGACCCCAGTGTAAGTGGTGACTGTGGGGCCTGTGAGCTTCCTGAAGAAGCTAGCAAGTGGCAGAGATCCAGGCAAACGTGGGAATACTTTCTTAAGTTTGGCTGTAGAAACAGAGGAGTCAATGATGTTATGGATACATCACAGCGTGGATACAGCATGTAGCCTGAGTCAGGAGAGCAGCGTGTTTTCTAAGATGTAAAGTCACTCACTCTAAATGGTGTAGAAAGTGTGCTGTGCTTGTAATGTTTTCAGGCTTAAATTGTCTAGAAATGAGTATTTTCCAACAATCAGAAATTAAACTCAGTATATCTGCTGGCTTTGTAACTTATCTGCTTGTTCTTTGATTGGCTTGTGACTCCCTTCTTCATATGTTCTGCTAATCTTTTATTACTACGTTAACATGCATTATATCCAAGCATTGAACAAGCTTGCCAGAAGTACTTACTTTAGTGTTCATTTGTTTTGTTTACCTGATTGTGGGCTTTTTAGATTCATTCATTATAACTTTGACATGGAGTCAGAAAGGACTTGTGGTGGTGGTAGAGATGATGTTGTACAGTTAGTTGCTATGACAAATGTAGTTTTTCTTTACTAAGACTTTGGTCCTGAATATGTTTCTGATGCGTGTGGCCTACGCTGCTGTCAGATACTTGGGGTATGTAAAGACATCTACCAGCTGTACTGTACACTGAAGTGTGAAGCTGGTATCTTTTATCAGGTCATGCTGAATCTGTAGTAAACGGCTAAAGCAGGTAAGTGAGATTTTTCACAAGCTCTTTTCTCAGATTTTTCCATAATTGGCTTCCTTTGTTCCTGTGTTCCATGATCGTTTTTCTGCCTGGTCTAGAGTCTGGTGCATCATGGGGAACCTTCCAGCCCTTAACACCAAAGAACTTTTCTTTTGCATTTGTAATTTCAAGTGAACTATTTTTTATTCTATAAGCTGTGTGTGATATACCTCATGTTATAATCTTTTCATTTAAGAAAAAGACGATGTGTGCATCTGTAATGTGTGTTCATACTAGAAGAGCCTATATTTCGTTTGTTCTCTTACACTGTGAACAACAAACTAGAATTTGCTGGAGCACCAGATATGATGCTGAACCTTCTTCTTTGACGTACTAATGAAATGGAGACATGTAGATAAGGGAATGAAATATAGTGTATAAAGCATTTATGTGAAGTGTTATTTAAAAAAAAAAAAAAAAAGAAAAAAAAGAAAAGAAAAGCACCATATTTCTAAGTGATCAGTGGTCAAAAATGTATGCAGTAATTTGGGTGGAAAGGATCTAAAATATGATGTATAACTGTAACTTTGTGGCTAGGGTTCTCGTCTGAGTTGGGGGTTGTGAGTTCTGCTGGCTTTTTATTTCTGTTAGGTAAGGGAAGATAGCTATGAAGAACAAGATGGACAACTCTTTCAAGTGGATGTCACCAGAACATGCCAAGAAGCATGCAGGGCTTTGTTTCTTCACATTCCTGCTCCCCTATTCAGTTGTTGAGGTATAAGGAATTCAGTCATGCCAAATGGGATACTGAGCATGAGGTCTTGGCTGAAGAGCCTACTGTGGGTTTTAATACAACAGGGAATGGTCCTGTTGTATTAACAGGATCATCTGATTTTCAAATCTTTCAGCTTTTTTTACTTCTGCTGGTGACTGACATTAAACCACATTTTTCAGTTTTCTTTTTTAAAAGGAGTTTAACAGAAGAATCACCCACTGGGTAAGCAGCCTGCAAAATCAGAACTTTCTCAAACTGAGGTGAAGTGCCACTGGACACCTAGAACGCAAGTTTCTGCTTGAAGAATGGAAATGTATCACTACTTTCTCAGTTACTATGCATTAATAATACAGTTGGTTTCAGTTGCACAAAATTTTTTAAAGCATTTCCTTTGTTTATAGTTTTGTTGTCTTTTGTTTGTTTTTTAAAAATGTCGTGTTGTTTCTGACAATACATGGGAAACATCTGCATGTTACTATTAGCAGGTCAAAGGAAGAAAAAGACATTAACTGTGAGTACACTTTTATTCATGGCAGCCTGCTTTAAGGTTCAGCCTCATTGGAAGCTTGGAATAAGCTGCATGAATTAGCTTATGTAAATTGTGCGTAACAGATACATGAAGGTACTGCTTGAAAGTGTTCTCTGACTTTTTATCATGGCATGGAGTTGAATTTATCCAAATGAGTTGTGTCATCCTTTGAAATTATGCATGACTCCAGTGTTTGTCACAAGAATATAAGGCCCATTCCATCCTTGAGAAGGCATAAATAATTTGCTTAGTGAATCATAGGTGCAGACTATGCCTATGGCAGCTACAGCTGCTGTTTGTGTTGAATAGCGAGTTAATATAGTTGTATTACAGAGTAGTTTTAGAGTTGGTTTATTTTAAAAGTATTTGAGAAATTGGAAATAAGGATTTAATAACACTAAGCCATTCTGTCACCATTAGTGATGTGCTTCCTGTTTTGCTAGAGGGACGTAAAGGCAGTAGAATACAAGAAGAACAGTGAACAAGAGTATTAGAACTACTGGTGAAAAATACTGCCATGGTAGCTTTGGTGGGAGGCTGCAGAGCTGCCAGTGGAAAACAGGCTGTGAAGGCACAGATGGAGGGCCTGTAGCCATTCAAAATTCTAAAGAATCCAAGGCATTGTGCAATGCTGCTTTCTATTTTATGCATGACTATCTGGAGAAGTAAGTACAGTAATGAGTGAAAAGGTGTGAAGAACTAGCTGGGAATGGCCTTTTAGGAAACAGTTCTGACAGTGCTGTGCCAAGAGAAGCTGTCTGGACAACTTTTTTATCTGTTGTAAATTCCCAAAGTGAAATATACTATGTTGAGGAATATTGCTTGAAGAAAAGAATAAATATCACTTACTGAAATAGCTACACTGCCCTTGATGAAAATTATTCTAAAATACACTTTCATGGCAAAGCAGTTTTAGTCAGTTTTAACTGCGTAACTGGAAATTTGGATTTGTTTAGAGCTCTTGTACAAACACCTGACTGAGAACTAGTATGAGGTGTTACTAACCACTGGGCAAGCTTTCACGTTTGACATAGACCAGACGTGAAGCCAAAGTGCTTTAACCTTGTGGACCACTTCCTTTCTGGAAATTCATTTTACTGTACTTAAGATATTTACTACTGTGCTTAAAATCTCTGTTTTTCTTTATGAAATAAAAGTCACTTGGCTAGAATTACCTAGGAAAATATCTCAAGATAATGGTTTCTTTTACTGTGGCTGTGATTCCATAGTTCTTAATTAGTGAAGAATTTTTGTCTAAAGGATACCAATTACATAATTGGTTTTCTTTATCTCATTGTTACCATCACAGTGAAATCCAACATTCTTCAGGTTGCTAGAATAAAATAATCATAATAAAATATTTTTCCTCTTGTATTATCAAGGGGATGCTTAACCTTTTGCACATCCTTTGAAACAAATGATAGATTGTGTGATTCAAATCTTATGTAACTTGTTTATTTTCTTCATTTCAGTACTTACAATTTGGAAATAAGATGCCTTTTAGCATTTTTTAATATTTAAAAAAAAAAAAAAAAATGTCTGCATTCCATTACTTTTATTTATCTTTATTGAAACAAAAATATTCCTGAAGTCAAGAATGGGACATGTACAAGAATTCACTTCATAGTCACAGAATTGTTTGAATTGAAATGGACCTTCAAAGGTCATCTAGTCCAACTCCCCTGCAGTGAACAGGGACACCTACAGCTAGAGCAGGTTGCTCAGAGCCCAGTCCACCTGATCTTGAAAGTCTCCAAGGACGCGGCATCTACCACCTCTCTGGGCAACCTGTCCTACCACCAATTTCTCCACTAAACCACATCTTTTAATACCACATCTAAATGTTTCTTGAACACCTCCAGGGGCAATGACTCAGCCACCTCCTTGTGCAGCCCATTTCTTTTGGAGAAGAAATTTTTCCTGATATCCAACCCAAACTTCCCCTGATGCAACTTGAGGCCATTCCCTCTAGTCCTGTTGATAGTTACATGAGAGAAGAGGCCAACCTCCACCTTGACACAACCTTCTTTCAAGTAGTAGAGAGCTATAAGGTCTGTCTCTTCAGGTTCAAGAAACAGTCTATTTCCACCTGAATTGTGGAGCATTTATTCTGCTCCCCATCCCAGACTTCCAGGTCTGGGAGTTGATTGTCCTGACAATAATTGATCTGACTTATAAAAACAGATGTAAAGAAGGCATTGAGAACCTCGGCCTTTTAGTTATCCTCAGTGGTCCCTTCCCTGCTACATCCAGTAAAGGCTGGAGATTCTCCTTAGCCCTCTTTTTTAATATAATTGTAACAAAGTTTCTTGTTCCTTTTTACTACAGTGGGCAAGTTGAGTTCAAGCTTGGCTTTTTCATTTCCAATTTTGTCCCTGAATATCTTAGCAATTTCTTCGTACTCTCCCTTAGTTGCCCTTCCCTTCTTCCACAGAAGGTAGGTTGTGGTTTTTTCTCCTGGAATCAGAAAAAGTTTCCTATTCATCCACACCAGTCTATCCTGCCAGCTCATCTTACAGCACAGGGGGACAGCCTATTCCTGTGTCTTTAAGACTTCCTTCTTGCAAAACCAGCCTTCCTGGACTCCTTTACTGTGCAGGACTGAATTCCAAGGGACCTTTCCTACCAGTGTCCTGAACAGTTCAAAGTCCACCCTCTGGAAGTCTAAGCTAGTGATTTTGCTGATCCCCCTCCAAACTTTACCAAGAATCAAGAACTCTACCATTGTATAGTCATGCTGCCCAAGGCAGCTCCTGGCCTCCACTTCTCCCACCAGTCCTCTATTTGTGAACAGCAGTTTTAGTGGGGCGCCTTCTCAGTAGGCTCTTTACCAGCTGTGTAAGGAAGTTATCTTCTGCACTTCCACACACTTCTTTCCCCTTGTCCTCTCGCAGCAGACCCTGTGAAACAGTGTCCCCTTCTTTCTTATAACCCCTACTTAGATACTGAAAGATCACTATTTGGTCCCCACAGTTCTCACAGCCTGTCTGTATAGGATAAGCGTTCCATTCCTTGGATCATTTTTGTGGCCCTCCTCTAGATACACTCTATCAGATTCAAGTCTCTTCTGTTCTGAGGGCTCCATGTCTGCACACAGTACTCCAGGTAAGATTCAGTTCAGAGAAGCAGGGCAGGATCACCTCCCTTGACATTCTGTTCATGCTTCCTTTGATGCAGCCCAGGATATGGTTGGCTTTCTGGGCTGCAAGGGCACATTGATCCCATGAAATGGACCACCTCTCCTGCAAGGACAGGCAGAGAGAGCTGGGGCTTTTCAGCTTGGAAAAAAGAAGGCTGTGGGGATAGCAGCCTTTTAGTATCTAAAGGGGAGCTATGGGAAAGAAGGGGACAGACTCTTTAGCAGGGTACGTGGTGACAGAACAAGGGGAAATGTCTTCAAGCTTGAAGAAGGTAGATTTAGGTTAGATATAAGGAAAAAATCTTTTAGAGTGAGGATGATGAGGCACTGGAACAGGTTGCCTAGAGATGTGATTGGTGCCCTGTCGTGGAGAATTTCAGGGTGAGGCTGGATAAGGCTCTGGCATCTTGATCTAGCTGTGGTGTCCCTGTTCATTGCAGGGGGCCTGGACTAGATGGCCTTCAGAGTTCCCTTTCAACACTAAGGATTCTTTGATTCTATTGCTAGCTCATGTCCAGCTTACCAACCATCACTGCCCTCAAGTCCTTTTTGGCAAGGCTGTAGTCTGTCTTGTCCCCCAG